AAATGGAAAATTCTCTCTCTGTGTCTCTTTCCTGCTCTCTTCTTCTTTCTCTACCACTCTACCTTTAGAACAAAAATAAGTAAATCTTTACAAAGCATTACACCTATCTTTAAAAAAAAAAAAAAAGTAGCCCCTGGGACCCAGCACAGTAGCCTAGCAGCTAAAGTTCTGATCCTGAGTGTGCTGGGATCGCATATGGGCGCCAGTTCTAATCTTGGCAGTTCCGCTTCTCATCCAGCTCCCTGCATGTGAAAGCAATAGAGGACGGCCCAATGCCTTGGGACCCTACACCCGCATGGGAGACCCAGAAGAAGCTCCTGGCTCCAGACTTCAGATCAGCTCAGCTCTGACCATTGTAGTCACTTGGGGAATGAAGTATAGGATAGAAGATCTTTCTCTCTGTAGCTTCTCCTCTCTGTATATCTGACTTTGCAATAAAAATGATAAATAAATCTTAAAAAAACAAAGTAGCCTGAAAAGTTAACTGTGTATATTGTATCTTTGATAGCAATTTTTAAATAATGCAAATACAAACCAACATCATCAGGGATTAATTAAAATGGGAGACCAAAAATATTTCTAAAGTCCCTTGCAAGAAAGAAAGAACAGTGAAACAAATGCAAATAGACAAAAACAAAAAGGTACACCTAAATTTTAAAAATAAAGAACTACTTTAAATATAAATTATCTAGATATTAATTATAAGCAGACAATTTCAGAATGATTTTTTATTTTTTTTTTTTAAAGATTTATTTTTATTATTTTTTCATTGGAAAGGCGGATATACAGAGAGGAGAGACAGAGAGGAAGATCTTCCGTCCGATGATTCACTCCCCAAGTGAGCGCAACGGGCCGATACTATGCCGATCCGAAGCCAGGAGCCTCTTCCGGGTCTCCCACGCGGGTGCAGGTTCCCAAAGCTTTGGGCCGTCCTCGACTGCTTTCCCAGGCCACAAGCAGGGAGCTGGAAGGGAAGCGGGGCTGCCGGGATTAGAACCGGCGCCCATATGGGATCCCGGGGGTGCAAGGCGAGGACCTTTAACCACTTGCGCCACCGCGCCGGGCCCCCAGAATGATTTTTTAAAAGATTTATTTTTATTGGAAAGGCAGATCAAATTTCCAGAAAGAAGGAGAGACAGAAAAATCTTGCATCTGCTGGCTCACTCCCCAACTTGTTACAATGGCCGGAGAAGAACCGATCTGAAGCCAGAAGCTTCTTCGGGGTTTTCCACATGAATACAGAGTGCCAAGCCTTTGGCCAATCCTCCACTGCTTTCCCAGGCCACAAGCAGGGAGCTGGATGGGAAGCAGAGCAGCTGGGGCATGAACCAGTGCCCACATGGGATCCAGTACTTGCATGGTGAGGATTTAGCCAGAGAGCCATCATGCTGGACATGATTTTGTTTTGTTTTGTTTTGTTTTTAAAGAAAGACCAGTTAGTGGTGGGAGCTTGGCTCAGTAGTTAAGATGCAGCTGGGGAGCCTGTGTGCTATGTTGGAATCCCTGGGTTCAAATTCCAGCTCTACTGTGGCTCCAGCTTCCTGCTAATGCACACCCTGGAAGCAGCAGGCAATGACTCAAGTACATGGGACATGGGCTCCTGCCATCCTTGTGGAAGACTCAGATTAAAGGCCCAGCTCCTGTTTTGTGCATGGGTCAGCCCTGGCTTCGCAGGAATCTAGGCAGTAAGCAAACAGAAGATCCTTCCACGTTTGTCTCTGTCTTCCAAATAAAATTATAATTTTTAAATGCCCACTTTGTGTAATAGCTATAAAACATTATATAGTGATATAGATCAGTCAAAAGTAAAAGGATGGAAAATTGCAAAGTGTCTTTCCAAAGCTCATGGAAATGGGTAATATGAAAACAATGTGCCTAGTATTTCAAACTTTTTTGCACCTAAAGACACTTATTTTTTAGTTCCAACTCTGCACATTTCTGAAAGTGTCCTGATGGATACCATACAAAGACAACTTACACACATACCACACCATGCGTGCAAATGCTGAGTAAAACAACTCTAACTTGTGTACATTGTTAGTGGGGACAGAAGTGCTTCAATCATTTTGGAAAGCAGCTTGAGAACATCTGCTGAAAACATAGAGTGTGACCTTCAATACCACCTGCCCAAGATCTTCCCAACAGAAATGCATACAGAGATTCACCCAGGCACATATTCTAGAATGTTTCAATATTCTCGAGACCACAGAACCCAATGCCCATAACCAACAGACTAAAAGTGTGTATTCACACAGCAGGTTGCAGCAGTGAGAAGCACAGCCACTCACGGTGACATGGACAGATTCACTGACATGATGGTGAGGCAAAGAAACCACACACGAAAGAACCCATTCCAGAATAGGCAAAGCCCACCTGGGGGGTGGGAAGCCCGGTGTTGGGGGCGGGGGAAGGAGGCACTTCTGGGACTGTGTGTCCACTCCACTTCCTGGCCTGGCGGATGGTTCATGGACCGGATGTTTCATGCACATTTTCTGCAAGGGCATTCCACATCAATCAAAGTTCAATTTTTTGAAAATCAGAATAAAAACAGTGACAGAGGAGGTGCCTGTCTTGCTCTGGAAAGAGCCAGAAAAGAACTGACTTCAGAATTAGAACAAGACAGCCACGTACTAACGTCCTGATAACCCCATCATAAGATGGAGAAAATGTAGGGGAAGGATTCAGTTAATTCCCTCCACTGAGCATCACGACTCAGCCTTACATGTGCTCAGAGCACCGGTGTGGACTCCAACAGGGAAGACCACACAGCGCCAAGTCTAGTTGATTGTAAAGCAATACCTGCCATGCTTCATGGAAAGCTGGATGGTTCTTTGGATGGTGAATGGTTCTGTGGAAAGCAGAACAATGTGCTTTCACACTGCTGTAAATCAGAGCATTTTAAGTCAAATCACGGCAAGCTGGGACTCTTGATGCTCATGAAGAACTGTCTTCCAGAGCTGTCCTAAATGCTTTCATACGCATCGTGTCATTAGCTCCTCCCCCACTAACACACACACTGCCAGAGCTATTGATAACAGCAGTAAATGACCCTGAGCACCACTTGTCATCTTGCATCAGACAGGTCTTGACCTAGGATCCGAGGGCAATTGTAGCCACGGCCCCAGAAACAGGTGACGACTTCAAGAAGTTCATGGAAAATGGAATTAAACAATATATTTACTTTTGCGCAAAATCATTTTGAAACTCACGTGTAATTCCTCTATAATATGAATTTTCCATAATCTGAAGATTGCTTGTGTATTGGATGATATGGAAGGCAAAGTAATTTTTACAATTTCTTTTAAAAAAAGATTTATCTTCTTTATTTGAAAGAGTTATACACACATATGTCTGAGACAGAAAGAGAAAGAGAATCTTCCATCCACTGTTCAAATGGCCTGGCTGCAATGACGAGGGCTGGACCAGATTGGATTAGACCTCCCGGCCTGATACATGGGGGCAAGAGTCCAAGCACTTGGGCCATCCTCTGCTTCAGGCGCATCGCAAGTGGAGCAGCTAGGACTTGAACTGCTGCTCACATAGGTTGCCAGTGTCACAGGCAGCGACTTAACTGCTGTGCCGCCACATCCACCCATGTTCTAACAGTCTTTAAACTTCTCACTGCTGAGGTCATTATAAACGATAGATTTCTTACAGGCAGTGTGATTAGGGTGTGCTGTGTGCTTCACACACGTGAGAAAACAGCACCTACTTAAATACAACCCTGAGCCCCGCTAGGTTTTTCACAGCCTTCCTTTCCTGGGGGGCATGGACTGAGCCGCTCTCAAGCCGGGAGTCCGAGGGCCGTGGGTTGTGCCACAACGACACTGTGGCAGGTGAGACAGGGGCCGGAGCAAGGGGTTTTCTTCCTTCTTTCCCTTCTGCTTCTTCCACTACCCGTGGCTTCTGCAGCCCCCCTAGAATGGCTCGGGGCTGAGTGAAGACACTTGGGAAAGGTGACCAGAGCTGGGATATGTGGGTCAGCACCTGCTTTGCTGGTAGGGGAGCGGGGAGTGGATCAGTAAAATGGGACATCTCTTCCTTTTAAGCTTCTACAGGTCCCAGGAAAGGGACCACCGAGCTGGCTGGAGGTTCTCCTGGGGAGCCTGTGCCTTCTCTCCCAACACCCTTACTTTGGCCTTCACCTGATCCAAGTCCTGTCCACGCCATCTTCTCCAGGACCAGGTCAACTGCTCCACCCACCTGTGCCCTAGAGGGAGACCTAGAACGCAGGACAGGTCCGGCAAATGATTTGAAGGCAGAGACAGAAATGGCTCAGTCTCAAGGAATCAGCCTCATCTTGGAGCACTATATTCCAGAATGATTCTGAATACTTTCATATACATAGTTTGCAGGGCAGCAGCTCCCATCGGGCACCTGCTCAGAAGGGAGTGAAACAGAAGACCTCGGCTTGGGACAGGCCGGCAGCCAGCTGGGCCCTTCTCAGGCATCTTTGCGCTAGGTCTTCCTTTTCCTTTTCCAAGGCAGCAGGTGTTGGAGGCTGAGGGTGGCCTGGGGGACAGGAGCGGGAGAGAGCCAGGCAAGGGTGGTTCGGCCAGCAGGCTCTGCTAATGACAAACTCTGACCTCCCTGTGCCCAGAGTCGTTCCCTGGGAAAGGAGGAAGCTAGCCAAGGAGGGCTGTCACCAGCCGCGGAGTTGCATGCTTGTGGCTCCATGGTTCATCGCAGGACCAGGGCAGGACGGTGCGGACTCAGGGCTGGGACAGGGAGTGGCTGCGGCCGGCAGCCCCAGGAGTCATCCGCGCCAGGACGCTGAAGCTCTGGAGCAGGAGAGGTCCAGAGGGGGCCTACCCTTTTCCTGGCCTTGCCCGACGCTCTGCATCTGCCCGGTGCGCGCTGGCAGCTGCGAGCACAGGAACCTGCGCTGCGGGCGGCGCTTCCCCCTCCCACGCGGCGGGCGCGGTGTGGGTGTGTCGGGCAGGAGGTATTTGAGGGCTGCGGCACCACCGGGCGGTCGGAGAGGGCGGCTGCCGAGGACTGGGTGTGAGCATGGCCTCCCGGGACCTGCCACCCGTCAGCAGCTTCACCCCGGCCGAGGTGCCCTCGGGGATCGGGCTGCTGATCACCATCCCTTTCGCCTTCTTGCTGCCGGAGGTGGTGAGTGAAGGGCTGGCCGCCGGCTACAGGGAGAGGAGGAAGTGGGGAGAGGCACCGGGCGTGGACCGCGGATCGCGCTGCCCCTCGCGCGAAGGGAAGCGGGACCCAGCCGCCAGCACCTGCCCTGGCTGGGAGCCCGGCGCTGCTCCGCGATAGTACGGATCCTCCGCTCCAAAGTAGCGCACACACCCCCAAGAGGTGAAGGGCGGGCAGGCGCCACCAGACCTGGGCGCACGGCTGCCTCAGCCCGGTGCCTCGGGAAAGGTGCTACTAGGGGGCTTGGACGACAAGCTGCTTTTCTCCAACTATTCGTGACTTCCGAAAGTTCACAAAGGGAGTTGGGGAGCGATCTGTCTTTCCCTCCGGAGGCTGTCATTCCGGTCCCCGGCGCTAGCGCAGGGTTCCCAGGGCGGTAACCCGACGGAGCGAGTCGCCCCAGCCATCCGCGAGCGCGTGCAAACCTGAAGTTGCCTCTGCCGCCTCTGACGGCGCCCAGCGCCTGAGCTGAGGCCTTGGTCCCAGTGGTCTGGGCCCCTTTGGCACCCGACAGAGTCCCGGGGTTCTTATATCTGGCGGGTACTGCCTGGGGATGCTTCAGGGTCAAGGTGTGCGTTAAGCTTCTCTTGTCCAACACCTTCTGTACCCCCTCTGGTTTGTGGGAGGTTCTGCTCGGTTTGTCAAGGCTGCCCCCAGACTGAGCGCAGAAAGATTGGAAGTGGAGCCACTTTCTCTGGAAAGATGGGGCTGATTGACTGAACGACCTTTAGGTAAACAGGCTCAAGGGCAGCCACGATGTCGCCCAGAAAGGACAGGCTGAGCACGTAGGTGGCTCCCATAGTGGTGACAGCCCCACCCATGAACCGGGTTTCTATCAGTGCTGGCACCTCTGGCACAGCACAGGCATCCTGCCAGGCTCCCGGAGTTCAGAGCTCCTGGAGCTCTTAGGAGCTCTCTGTGCTGCCTCTGGGTGTGTCCCTTGCCCGGGGAATAGCCTCGTGGACTGCCAGGGTTGGGGCCAGCTCCTCGGCCTTGTCCTTTATGGCAGTGATGCAAGCTTCTGGCGACGAGCTGGGCGTTGCCTCCCTGTCTGCTGGGGCGAGGAGAGCGCAGGGTTGGAGAGAGGATAGTTGGACCCCGAAAGACAGGCTGGTGGGGCAGGGGGTGAAGGTGAGGCAGGAGGAAAACCCCCACCCCGGAGAGAACAGGCAGGGGGTGGGGCTTCGGGAAGAAGCGTAGCCAGCTGGGGAGGAGGGACGCTTCGTGCCCCGACCTGTTCTCTCCTCTGAAAGAAACAGGTGCACTTGTGCTGGACTCCGGACCTTTAAGTGTTTAAGCGGTGGGAATAGTGTTACCCATTGGTTCCGCCCTGTTCATTTATTTTCACTTTAAAGCAATTTTAGATATAGGGTAAACTTGCAACAAACAGTATGGAGACTGTGCTGCTGCTCTGTTCTCCGTTGTCCCTGTCACTGCCGCTCCGGAAGCATAACTCGGGGTCTGCCCGTTCCCTCCCTGCCCTCACATGCCTCTCCTGGTCCAGGCTCCAGGCCAGACTGGCCCATCTTGGTCTTGACTCTGACGGGGAAGCGCCCTGGCCTGGCTGCTGTTCCTTCATTGTGACCGTGTTTGTGCCTAATCCTTAGTCCTGCTGAAAATTTAGGAATGTGGATGACCTTTCTGCCTGTAGTTGCAAAGTTTTGCCACTGAATCAACTCAAGCTTTTGGTTCACCAACTTTTTGAAGGATCTATGTGCCTCCCCAGCTCGCTCAGCCTGCTGCAGGCGTGGGTTCCTTCTGGCTTGGACCCTTCGGGTGTGCTGCCAGCTGTTACCGTGGGACTTCCCATGAGAACACCAGGCCTGAAGCTCTACAGATTCTCACCTTGGGGGCCTAAGATCTCACACACAGGCAGATGTGTCCCTAAGTACCTAAGATCAGACAGTGGATTATAATGCTGGGAGCTCAGCCAGCCAAGGGGGCAGAGGAACTAAAGTCCAGCCCCTGGTGTTACTGGTGACAGTCCTGGTCCCGTACTTTACTACCCTCCCCGTTGCCCCTCCAGCCACCGTGGGCAAAGCAGGCTGGCCCGAGACCTTCCCGCATGAACCAGGGGCCAGAAATGCCCAGCCATCACAATGGGCCAAGGGCTCACCAGCTTCCCCAACACCGCACGTTCCACCCTGGCTGGCCATTAGTGGCCTCTGCTGCTTTTGTGTTCCGGGATGACAGGCCAGGATGGCAAGCACTTGTGTGTTCAATCTGACAGTAAACTCATGAGTTTTGAAATTTTTAATTTTGTCCTAATTGCAGATGCCTAACAAGTTTTCCTTCCCTGCTTACCTTCCTCCCCAACCAGGTGGGTAAGGCCGGGGCTCTGGTCTGCACCATTTTTCTCCCAAGGTAGATGTGTGTGGTCACCACCTGCACCCAGGAGGGAACAGGAGCTCGCTGTCTTGGCAGTCACACAGGCTGTCCGCCCTCCCTCACCCACCTGTTATAACCTCGCATTGCTGTCATTCTGTTGTTTTGAGAAAGTTATGAGAATAGATGGAACCACAGAGGGGGAAGGGGTCTCGTGAGACTCAGGATGACATCCTGGAGAGCTATCCCAATATGGCCACGTCAGTGTTTCCTGCCTTCCCGTGGCCAGGCAGGGGTCCTCGGGGTGGGTGTTTAACTGGACACCCACAGTTTTGTGGCTCCCAGTTCCCAGCTGCTGAGAACAAAGATGCTTGAACGTTCACATGCAGAGACTTTCATGTGGATGACGTTGTCACTGCCCAGGAGGCCCGGGAGAGAAAATGCCCCAGTGGGGGTGGATAATACACACATCGCATGCACCTGCTTGCCAGGTTTCTATTATGACAGACCAATTCTTTCATAAAGCAGCTAGAAAATCATTTTTAATCCATTTAATCCATTCCCACTAGCAGTGGATGAGGCTTTCGAGACTTCAGTGCTAAAATGAATTCAGACTTTCTGTTTGAAACAGTTTTCAAAATTCTTTATCTGTTTTGTTGGTTTGCAAGGCAGCAAGAGGCAGCTCCAACCGCTGTCCACAAGGCCAGCGCTGGGCCAGGCTGAAGCCGGGAGCGAAACACTTCACTGGGTCTCCCATGTGGATGGCAGGAACCCAGCTGCTTGAGAGCCATCGCCGTTTAATTTTCAAACGTTAACTCCAAGTTGGAGGAGCCCTTGAATTGATTACTTTCAAGGGGAGGATGTCGGTCCTGTCTCCCCTCTCCCTCTCCCGAGGGTGGGTGCCTGGGACCAGAGCGGAGCTGAGCCAGGGATGGGCATGGCTCCCTGCCCTGCCTGCGCTTCAGAGCAAGCAGCGTGGCCCGCAGGTGGCTGGGGTGCCAGATAACTCCATAACTTGTTATTTTTTTTTACAACCCGAGTGTGCACATAGGTGACTATGACCAAGAAAATGCTTTATGAACAAGAGACCCAGAAAGTCTTCTAACCTTCAACCTCTGCACTGGGAGATGAGCTCATTAGGGTTTGAACTAATTAGAAACAACCAATAAGAGTCCTAGAGACTCAGGGAGTTAAAAGGAGGAGATGATACGAGGCTCCGTTTGATGTCCACATTCTCCTTTCAAGTTCACTCACCTGCACTGGGAGTTGGAAGGAAATATTCTGAGGGTCAGAGATTGGGAAGTTCATCTTTGTGTCTAACCCAGATACCCAAGTACACCCCAACTGCAATGGCTGCTGCTGTTGCTGCTTCTCCTGTTTTTGGTGATGAACCCGATGAGAGCCCTGCCCAGGCACCCTGCCTACGGGGCACTCCAGAGGGGATGGCCCTGCCCTCGTGAGGCCTCCTGGGGCCGTATGGTGGGCAGGCCCCCTCCCTTCCTCTGACATTTCCTTAGTGACTGAGTGTTCCAAGAGGGAAAAAAAATCTTTCTCTCAGTTTCCTCTACTTCCTTTTTCGGTTACTCACATTTCTGGGGAGGGGCCAAGGCCACATAGTCCGGCCCCTTGCCTGCTCCGTGCACGCTTCTGCTGCTGTGGCCTCCACGCTCCTGTGCCAACTGTGGCCCTGTCCTGTCCTCGGCCCGGTGGCTCCCCATGGGGACACTGAGCCAGCCATGTCCATGCCAATGATACTACTGAGTCCTAAGGGACTGGTGCCCAAGCATGTCCCCTGGCAGCCGTGTGATGAACAAGGAGCAGCAGAAGGGAAGGGTGGTTAGGGGCTGGCACAGGCGAAGCAAATCCTCCTAGAAGAGACGATGGAGTGAGAAGAGGACGAGCTTCCCGACCCTGCTGGAACCACCTGGGATTGCCCACACCAGGCCCGTCCTCCGTTCTGCAGAGCCCCCAGGAGGCTCCTGTTCAGTAAAATACAATCAGTGGCATAGGACCTAAAGCCTGGCTCTGCTACTTTTTTTTTTTAAGATTGATTTTATTTATTGTCTGAAAGTCAGAGTTACCGAGAGAGAAGGAAAGACAGAGAAAGATTTTCTAACTGCTGTTTCACTCCTTAGATGGCGGCACTCCTTAGATGCTGGTTTACTCCTTAGAGCTGAGCTGAAGTGAAGGCCAGAGCTTCTCCCAGGTCTCCCACATGATTGCAGGGGCCCAAGGACTTGGGCCATTCTCTGCTGCTTTCTCAGTTCTTAAGTAGGGAGCTGCATCAAAGGTGAAGCAGCTGGCACTCAAACCGGTGCCCATCTAGGATGCTGATGTCACAGGCAGAGACTTACCCTACTACGCCATGGTGATGCTGGCCTTGACTCTACTTCTTTATGACCACGGGGCCCCAAACAGACTGCTTTGCTGAGCCTTGGTTTGCTCAGCAATGGGAAGAATGAGTGAGGACTTCAGAAATCAAGCCCATCCTCCACAGTTGGGGCCCTCTGCACTTTCCCTCTGGGTCTGTTCTAGCTGCAGGCCCAGAAGTGTTGAGGTTATCACTACCCTAACCCATTGCTCTGCTTTCAGGGGACATGAAATATGCAGGCGATGGAGGAGGACAGCTTTGGGCTTGT